AGTCCTTGGAGGCCCTGTTTCCCTCCTGCAGGGCAGGCTCCATTCTGTCCTGCCCTGGGGAGGAGGTTCTCACTGTGAGCTCAGGGCTTCAGCAACCGCTCAGTTAACTCTTTGAGGGAGAGGGTGCTGGAGTGGAGAGGCCTGTACACAAGTTGGGGGCTGAAACAAGAGCCCATATCTCTTTCCTCCAGTTCCGTGCTCAGGGCTGTAAATCAGGTTTTCTCATCTACACTTACATTTAATTCACCTTCGAAATGATATTTCAAGCACATGATGAACCAGCTATTTTAAAGAAATTATTTCCATTTTCTAAAATTACACTCATTAGGCAGAATATGTAAATTTTGGCTTTGGGCAGGAGGGGCATTCCACGTCTGTGCTCACCTGTGTAAGGGAGGAGATCATGAAGCAGTTGTGCTGATTGTGTGAGTTTGTTTTACCAGATGGGCCGGGGTCACAGCTGTCAGACCATTCTCTCCTTTCTGGTCTTTGGAACCCTGACTAGAAGATGGAACAGGCAGTTTTCTGAGTCCTTTAGTCTCTCACAGAAGTTTGCTGTTTCAAGGACTCCAGTTAGACCACCTCTAGTGAGAAGTTTAAAAGTTCCCTTCAGATTAGCAGAGAGTTTGGACAGTGGTTAGACACCTGAGAGGAGCCTTTTGAGCACCTTGCTGACCAGCTATTTTGAGCCCGAACTTGCCTGCGTGGCCCGCTACTTTTCAGCTCTTTTAAAACTTCATTGCTTTCAGACCTTAAAATTACTTAAACTAATATAAGTGTAGACAATTATCTCGTGACTGGTCAGCAATGTTTGGACCTAGAAACAGGAGTATACTCACGACCAGTCAGCAAGGTGTTACACCGGGCCCTGCAGCACGCTGTCGAGTTGGTGGTGGGGTTTCCTGATGGGTCAGCCCTGCCAGAGCAGGAGCACCCCCTGGGCAGGCCCCTGCAGCCTCAGGGAAGCCAGGCCATTTATAAAGTCTTCCCTTCCATTGTGAAAATGTGGGCAGCGTTCCAGCCCAGTTATCTCTGCCCCATCCCTGCCTCTGGGCCAGGACAGGCTCTTCTCTCCATCTCTAGTACGTGGTGATCTCCAGTCCTTCCTACCACCCCACAGCTTTCCTGAACTTTTTAAATGAAAAATTTCAAACAAATTGTAAAATAGGAAGGATTTCACAGGGAACGCTGTGTGCCATGTGCCCGCAACCAGGATTCGACCTTGGGCGTTTCATTCCTTGCTTTGTCTGTCTCCCACCCACACATCACTGTGCCCTGGGGCCCTCTTTCAGACACATTTCAAAGTAAAATTGCAGGCACCTATATACTGCCCCCCAAGTGCACGTTATGGACTAGAACACAGTATGTTTTGTTTTTCATTTGATGTAAAATACAATGAAATGCACACTTCTTAAGCGTTCATTTACTGAGTTTAGACAAACACACATGCCTGTAAAATTCAAACTCCTGTCAAGATGTAGAACATTATCATTACCCTCAGTGGCATATTTTGAATTAAAATTCTTAAACTGTTCATTTTGAAATCATTTCACACTTTTAAAAGGTTTCAAATATAGTAAATACAAAGGATTCCCATATTCCCTTTACTTGGCTTCCCCAGATGTTGACATCTGCATAACCATAGTCCAAGTATCACACTCAGAAGTTAACATGGATGGGAGGAGACTCTTCACAATGTGTAGACCTTATTTCCATTATAATCAGTTGTGCACTGATGTCCTCCTTTTGCCCCAGGATCCCCCCTGGAATGGCACTTACATTTAGTGGTCATACCTGCCCAGTCTCCTTCCTTTTGGGACAGTTCCAGAGTCTGTCTGTCTGTCTGTCTGTCACAGCCTTGACACTTTTGAAAAGTACTGACTATTGACTTTGTAGAAAGTCCCTTTCTGATCTTTTTCTGATGGTTATGTTTGACTTTGGCACTTTTGGTGAGGACCCTGCGGACATGCTGTCTGTCCCGGATGCCCTTCCGAGGCCTGTGCGCTCGCAGGTGATGTCAGAATATCTTATTACTGGTGGCGGTAGCTTTGATCACAGGTCAAGGTGGCCTGCGAGGTTCCTCCTCACACAGTTACTATCCTTCCCTTCCTAATCGATGAGCGTATTTGGGGAGATACTTTGAAACTACTAACTATCCTGTTTCTTATCAAACTTTCACCTGTTAATTCTAGCATCCCTTGATGAGTCTTGCATGAAACAATTATTACTCTGGCATTTGAGAAATGTTGATTTAGAAGACATAATTCGTTTTACATGTTTGAATTGGAATTCTAATGTAAGAAGACCATTTTTCTTCTCCATTTCTTTGTATAGTTGTTTCTTTTAATAGGGACCTGGATACTTGTTTTATTTGTGGGCTATAACCCAAAGCTGTTATTTTGTTGCTTAGGTGTTTGAGATTTGCCTTTACGAGCCCTTTTGAGTTCGCTCCTGTGCCCTTCTGATAGGACCCCATTACTTTCTGAGTACTTCTTTCCTGTTTACTTCAAAATATTCCGGGACTGCCTTGTACCTTCCCTGCTCCAGGCCTGGAGTCAGCTGTTCTTGAAAGAGCCCTGGTCCCTATTATTCAAGAATCTCACTTTTTAAAAAACTGTGTGGCCTCAGCCAGAGCAGGCTCGTAATATCATTCCTTTAGGAATCTTCTCTATGGGTCCTTCTCTGTTCTTGTCCTATGTGTGAACTCTTTAAAAAAAGAGAGAGAGAAAGAAAGAAATCCTTGTAGACTCTAATTTTCTAACTATGGTCGGGCACTAAAGGCGGTTCTTAAAGTCAGATGTGAGTCATAACTTTCGCTTTAGCCCTCCCTCGTGCTTTGTGCTGCAGTCGTGCTTGTGAATGGCTGTGAATTGTTCCATGAGCTTCCAGAGTCTTAAAAAGACCAGCCTTCCAGACACCAGAGAGCAGGAGGCTGGGGCCCACAGTGACGGGCCACCCACCCCTTTTAAAAGGACGCCTATCTAGAATGAAGGTGCACGTTTTCTAGGGTCAGAAACTGTGAGAAAAGGTTCTTGCCTCTTTGGAGGGTTGGGGGTTGGAAATCTGACCCTGGGCGTTGACCATGTGGCTGATAACCGAGCAGCAGCCGCTCAGCCCCTCTTTTGTCACCGCTTATGGTCTTGTGCTTCGGAGGACAGTACTCCAGGCGTCACTCATACAGCCTTTGCATGTGCGGACACAGCTGGAAGCCAGTGGCAGGACCGGGTGACATCCTGCGTTCCTGTCCAGTGCTCAGCCTGACCTGGCTTTGTTTGTCATAGCAAGACCTACATTGCCCATCAGTTTTTATTTAAAAACTCTTCTCTACACTGAAAGTTTTTATGGCATCAGGGAAAAGACTGGGTTTTTTTGTTGTCTTTGTTTTAAATCTACCTTTATTGATTTCAGAGAAAGGAGAGGAGAGGGAGAGAGAGAGAGAGAAACAACAGTGATGAGAGAGTCATTGATCGAGCCCGCAACCTGGGCATGTGCCCTGACCGGGAATCGAACCCCGATCGCCTGGATCCTGGGTCGACGCTCAACCGCTGAGCCACGCCCAGCGGGGCAAGACTGTTTTTGATGGCAGTAGTTTTGAGTGGTGGTTTAGTATCTGTGTTCTTCTAGAATGGTATCCATGGTGACAGATGCTGAAAGTATAGGATGTGATCAGGAGGTAAGTAGAGCAGTGTGGTCTTGAAGTCATGATAAACTCCCCAGGATGCTAATTAAATGCGAGAGTCTCAGCCCATAGTGCACTAGTGACTAAGTGCGACTGTGGGGGCTTTTGTTAGGAGTGTGGTCTAGTGCGGTCCTAGAGCTTGGAGGGTGGTGTGGGAAGGGAAACATGCATCACTAGGAACCAGAAGAGCAGAACCCATGCCAAGCCTTCAGCTCATCAAGAAGATACAACAATTGTGAATGTATATGCGCCCAACACCAGAGCTCCTAATTATATTAAGCAAATCCTAACAGAGCTGAAGGAACAGTAGACAACAGTACAGTGGTAATGGAGACTTCAGCACCCCACTTTCAGCAGTGGATGGGTCGTCCAGACAGAAAATCAACAAGGAAATGAGGGACTTGAACCACAGCAAACCCTTTCCCGTTTCTGTTGGTGAGCCGTGCTCTAGGTATAGCACGTATAGAAGATACAAGACAGGGCCTTAGTCTCGAGAAAGCTCACCTGCTTGGTTCTCAAGGAGCTAAATAACAAGGCGGTGATTTAAAGAGTATGACGAGAGTAGTTTGAGTAGCATAAGAGACTGCAGGCTGAGGGGAAAGACCTGAAGGAGAGAGAGTGAGCTGGCCTGTGGGTACAGGTCGGGCTGGGTGGAGAATCGGGGAGGCCCTTGCACGCGCCTCCGGGAAACCCTGTGTTGAAAGGGTGGGTGGAGCCAGGAAGCTGGGGCTAGACGAGAGGATGCTAAGTTAAGGACTCTGGGTTTCATCTTGTAGAAACTGGGGTGGGGGTGTTTCTGAAGAGGGAATGATGGACTGAAAGGAACATTAATCGGACAAGCCGACTGGCCGTAGGATTCTGGCACCGAGGAGTTTCATTGGCTGTCGCCACATGAGAGGCAGGATTAGGATGGTGATGTGAGAATAGTTTGCTCTGAGAGGCATTTAAAACAGGATACAAGGATGTGCATAGCTGGAAATTAAAGTTGACATAAGATTACAAGCCAGGGGGACTAGACGCAGTGAAGTGCCTGAAGCTGAGGACGTATGTAAGTGGGAATGGACTGAGTTTCCGAGAGCTTGAGCCCTACAGCCAGCCACCTGACTTACTGAGGACAGGAAGGAACTACTTGGTAATGATGTATGTTATATATTATGGTTCCCGGGTAGCTTTATACTCTTTTTAATTGAACAAAGAAAAATAATAATAGATTTGTAAACCCCTCTTAGCCAGTCTAAGCACATCTAACACCCAACCTTTCTAACCTCAGGTTGACCCCGAAGATTGGCTTCCCGTGGAGTGAGATAAGGAACATCTCTTTCAATGACAAAAAGTTTGTCATTAAGCCCATCGACAAGAAGGCACCTGTAAGTTCATATGGAGTCTACACGGGGGTTACTGTTTTTCATTCCTACAACAAATGTGTTTTTTCAGGATAAATCAGATTTCTCTACCTAGGTGACAAGGAGCCAGTGATACTCAGAATTGTGTGGGTGTGGGTGTATTGAGGGAGTCGCCAGCAGGTTACATTGAGGGTCAAGGGCCTCTTAAGACATGCAACTGACCGTGGCAGTGGGAGGTTATTGTGGAGGCCAGGTGTCTGTCAAAAGCTAGCTGACTGTTGCCTGAGTTTTCAGGTGTCTTCATTACTTATGAAGGAAAGAGCCACTCTGAGTAGTTGACCTGTGATGAATGAGAAGCATTTCTGGACTTGTGGTATTTTTGTGATACGGGAAAACCACCCGGCCTCCAAGACTGTGTACCTGGCGTGTGGGGCTCACGCCAGCATCTCTCTGGTGCCGCCTGGAGCACGGGCAGAGATTACTGCAAGCCTCCAGGGCCGGGACCTGGCTTTCAGGGCTGTCCTTACAATTTTCCCTCGTTAGGAAAAGTCAGGCCTGCACCCAGAGTGCTGCTGGACCTCCTCTGCCTCTCAGGCAGACGTAGGCCTCTGCTCTGCTCTGCTCCGCTCCGACTGCCCACTGCCCCGCGAGTGATCTTTCCACAGGCACCTGCATGTGGGTGCTGGTGTCACAGATGTGGAAGGGAGGCTTCCTGTCCTGGAATTTGGAGAGAACTGACTGTTAAGTAATAGCTGCAAAGACTGGTGCCTTGTGGAAATTCATTTGGTTTTATTATTCTCCTAGTATTTAAAGTGTCAGCCTTTGCTCAGAAAATCTGAGGCACACTGTAGTGTGGTGGAATGGTGGGGAGTTTGTTTTCTAATCAGAAATCTGGTTCTTAAAGAAAAACCACTTGAAATTCTGTTACCCACCTTAGAGTCGGCTCTGAATTTTACCAAAGTTATAGATCAGAAAGGACTGTGTCTTGTGTAATTTCTGTTCCTTAGTTGCAGTGTTAGGCTAAGAGAGGCAGACACGGGCTGTGCTGCAGGCTGGATGTGGGGAACTCTCCTGGGATGGGCACTGCCTGGCGATGGCTGACCACGCGGGACAGCTTGTGTTACTGTCCCACTGCTCCTCCCTGCGAGGGGTGAGTCCCGAGTGAGTGAAAACCAGAGGATAGTACTTTCTTTTTTATTGAACACACTTCCTGCTGTTAGCACACCCTTGCTCCCGCTCCATGTGCAGCAACACAGTTACTTAAAATTATAGATTTAATGCAGACTCTCGAGCTCCATGATAGCTGTACCACGACCCGAGGGACACTCTGTACCCATGCACGGGGCAGGAGACTGGGGCAGGTGGGAGAGCGTGGAGTCCCTGGTGGAAGCTGCTCTCAGTGAGATGTTGCTAATTTTTCAGAACCTTTTTTTTTTAATGTAACTGACAGAAGCAGGCATTCTGGACTATACTGTTAAAGAATTAAGTTTTTGTTTGTTTCTTTAATTTAGTGTAAGTTTAGCTTTTGAAAAGCTACAGAGTATTTCCTAGTCATAAAACCCCAAGCAAAGACAGTTTTAGCACATCTGGTTGAGTCAGCCAAGTGCACTCTTAGTATACCGTGCTTCTGTGTGCACTCTTAGTATACAGTGCTTCTGTGTGCACTCCTAGTATACAGTGCTTCTGTGTGCACTCTTAGTATACAGTGCTTCTGTGTGCACTCCTAGTATACAGTGCTTCTGTGTGCACTCTTAGTATACAGTGCTTCTGTGTGCACTCCTAGTATACAGTGCTTCTGTGTGCACTCTTAGTATACAGTGCTTCTGTGTGCACTCTTAGTATACAGTGCTTCTGTGTGCACTCCTAGTATACAGTGCTTCTGTGTGCACTCTTAGTATACAGTGCTTCTGTGTGCACTCCTAGTATACAGTGCTTCTGTGTGCACTCTTAGTATACAGTGCTTCTGTGTGCACTCCTAGTATACAGTGCTTCTGTGTGCACTCTTAGTATACAGTGCTTCTGTGTGCACTCCTAGTATACAGTGCTTCTGTGTGCACTCTTAGTATACAGTGCTTCTGTGTGCACTCCTAGTATACAGTGCTTCTGTGTGCACTCTTAGTATACAGTGCTTCTGTGTGCACTCCTAGTATACAGTGCTTCTGTGTGCACTCTTAGTATACAGTGCTTCTGTGTGCACTCCTAGTATACAGTGCTTCTGTGTGCACTCTTAGTATACAGTGCTTCTGTGTGCACTCCTAGTATACAGTGCTTCTGTGTGCACTCTTAGTATACAGTGCTTCTGTGTGCACTCCTAGTATACAGTGCTTCTGTGTGCACTCTTAGTATACAGTGCTTCTGTGTGCACTCCTAGTATACAGTGCTTCTGTGTGCACTCTTAGTATACAGTGCTTCTGTGTGCACTCCTAGTATACAGTGCTTCTGTGTGCACTCTTAGTATACAGTGCTTCTGTGTGCACTCCTAGTATACAGTGCTTCTGTGTGCACTCTTAGTATACAGTGCTTCTGTGTGCACTCCTAGTATACAGTGCTTCTGTGTGCATGTGCTCTTACTACATACAGTAGTTCCATGTGCACTCTTTCTATAAACTAGTTCCATGTACACTTTCTATGTATTAGTTTTATGTGCACAGCAGTTCTATGTGAAGCCATCACTTAAAGAAAATATGAGAGAGGAACGTGGACTGGTCGCATACTACTGCTGGGCACGGTGCCAGGATGGGTCGTGTGCCCAGCATGAGCAGGATGGGAAGGTGCCACGCATGGTAGAGGCAAGTGAGAACGAGTGAGACAGTCACATGCTCCCTGGCAGTGAACTTAGCAGTGCAGCTGTGACGAAGTCGCAGATCAGGGTATTTGCTGTTCAGAGAAGACATGAGACAAGGGACAGTATGATCACTTTAGGTGGCTGTGACGTGAGGAGCTGGCAAAGGACCGAATGAGCCCCTGGGCCCTCCCACCTCACTGGCCTCCCTCTGTCTTCTACCTGGGGCGGTAGAAAACCAGGTTTCCAAGTTGAAGTTTATCCCTAGAAGAGAGCAAAGGAAACCCCAGAGGCCGAGGTGACCTGCTGAGAGGCAGGGGTTCCTTTTCTCGCCCCACCTGGGCAGTTTCTGCAGCTACTCAAGCGTTGCTCAGGCCTGGCCCCATGACCGGCCTTTCCTCGCAAAGGCTGCGTCTCCTTGCTGCCATGGACATGCCGCAGTCTGGGGCCATGTTTTGACTTTCATGATGGGACCTTAAGTACCATAAATGTTCAAAGCCTGCCCAGTTTTCCCCAGGAGGCGCTAAGACCTGCTCTCACCTCAAAAAAGTTCCTTTTGTTCCTGTGGCCGCATGGAAAAGGCAGAAGGTGCTCAGGTAGCTAGCTAACGACTTTGAAATGCCTAAGAAATGAAAACTTACATTGATTGTACCCAGCTCTGTGCTCAGCTCCTTTTACCGTGACCTTCTCCCACCCCTGGGCCAGGGAGGCCAGGGAGCCCCGGATGGACCCCAGTGGGAGAGCATCCTAGGAGTTACCCTTGTCTACTCCCTGACCTTTTTAAAGGTTGCTTTTGGATTTGTTCCTTGAACTTTGCTCTGCCTTGAGTTTCCGTGTCTAGGGTGTCTGTTTTCTGCCAGAGTTTGGAAGGCCTGTCCCAGGTCTCATTGGTGTTGTGGTTTTGCATTAGGACATTGGCTGGACACTTGGATTTAGACACTTAATAATTAATATTAACTTCTAAAGTCATAAGCAGTCCTTCAAGGGCAGTGTGAGGGATTGCCTCCCTGCAGAGTGGGGACTCCTGGATGCTCGTGTGGGGCTTATCTCTGGGAGACTGGGTGCCACGAGGGGACGCTCCCGGAGTTCCCATCTCTTGATTTTTTAGATTTTTTTTTTCTAAAGAGGAGTTGGTGCTAATCAGAGATTCTTTGCCAATACCTAGAAGAGGACAGTCCAGACCTATTTGGGTTGTGTGCCTGTCTGTGCGGCCAAAACACAAGGTTGTTTTCTCTTGTGTAATAAGAGACAGGTGGGTAATAAAATTACCTGCTTCTCCCAGCTCTGCAGACACCTCCCTGGGAAACCCGATGACTTAATAACAATGTGTGAAACCCCGAGGAGAGCCCCACCCAGGAAGTCCGTGGGCTCTTGGGTTGGCATTCTCTCTCCCAGCCTTTCTGGAGCAGATGAAAAGACTGAGGAGCTAAATAGGTCCTTGCTGGGCGTGTTGATCAGCCTGCCCAGCACGTCCTGTAGGTCTCGGAGCTGCTGTGGGGCGTGGAGCGCTGTCTTTGTTTCAGCCGCTCTCTCCCTGGTCCAGTGGTCAGAATCCTGATGGTGAAGGCCCATGGTGGAGAGAAAGGAAAAAAGGGAGAGGAAGCAGACAGGCATTTGAACATAACTTTTAGCAAGAGTTTCTAAAGCACATTCCTGTCACTTGTTATTCACAGCGGGAGCAAGGAGCTAGGGAACAAGCCTGTGTCACCCATGTCCTAAACTTTGGTCACTAGTCATGAAGTTCTTGGTAATTGCATTTCTCTTTAAGACCACTTGTCTGTCAGCAGTTTCGTAGGCAGCCAGCAATCTCTGTTTTGTACACCAGCCAACTTCTATTGTGCTGGACAGCATTCTGAGTCCTTATAAACATCATCACGCCTACCCCACTAGGTTGCTGTCACCCCCATTGTGTAGCTGAAGATGCTGAGGCGCAGTGATAAGTGAGTTGCTCAGGGTTGTGGGACTTCGATGTGGCATTGCTGCCTAACCTGTTGGTCAGTCACCTAGCGGGTGTTTATTGAGCACCAGTGAACACTGAGCATTGATTTGGTCCTGGAAATTCAGAGATGAATGAACATGACCCTGCCCTCAAGGTGCTGATTGTCTAGTGGGACAGAGACCAAAACGAGTCAGCAGAGTAGTGCAGTGACACCGTGACTGACATCAGAGTCAAGTGCAGGGGGCACAAAAGCAGTCCTGGTCAACCACGGGAGGAGAGGAGATGGTGCCTTAATGTCGTCCCATAGAAGTGCCGCTGTCCTCCAGTGCATGGCCTTGGACTTGACATTCCAAATAGAGGGGCTGTTTGGGGAGATGCTTCAGGTATGAAAGGGCACAGTTTAGATGAATAGGGGGTAGGTTGGGGCCAGTGTGAGGTGGCCTTCACATGTGCCCAGCCACGTGTTGGACCTGGTCCTGGAGCTAACAGGATGGCATCAAAGGCCAGCAGTCACCTGACCAGTGTGCTAGCAGCAGTGAGAAGCGACAGGTTGAGGCAATGGAGTTGGGAAGCTCAATAGGAGAACTTGGGGGAGTCCAGGCAAGAACTGGGGCTGGGGCTGTGGTCTGGAGAGGACAGAGGGCTTTAACCTGAAGATCAGGCAGTGCTGGGCCTTGGCGACACTGGGCTTCCCCTAGCTGGGTGACCTTGCTGTGGAGCTTGGCGGTTCAGCTTGCATGACACGCACACTCTCCCTCTGCTCGTTCCAGAACCTACGTTTCTGGTGTCTCATTGTCCTTTGGGGTCAGTGGCTTTGTGTCGAAGCCTCTCTCTGGCCCCCTGCTCTCTGCTCCATGAGTCCTTTCAGAAATGGTGTCTGCGCTTTGTACAGCCGGGTAGAGGCTGGAGCGTGAGTCAGCACCTGTTCTGTCCCGTAGGACTTTGTGTTCTACGCTCCCCGCCTGCGCATCAACAAGCGGATCCTGCAGCTCTGTATGGGGAACCACGAGCTGTACATGCGCCGCAGGAAGCCCGACACTATCGAGGTGCAGCAGATGAAGGCCCAGGCCCGGGAGGAGAAGCACCAGAAGCAGCTGGAGCGGTGAGCGGGCAGCGGGCACTCGGCCCGGCCTTGGGGCCGGGGCTGGTCCCCATCGGGAATGCCAGTGGGATATACCTTAGTAATCGCGTGGATCGGCGCTCGGAGCTGCCTCGCTGTGGGCTGGGGGTGCAGAGCCCAGGGTGGGAGCGCTCAGGGGAGCTGCGGACAGCAGGTGACCGGGAAGCAGCTGCTCCTGGCGGGCTGGAGGCTGCCGGGCATGTCGCTGGGACTGCTGACTGTTGCAGTGCGTCGCAGTGCACAGTTCTGCGGATCTGAACCCCCCTGTGCCCTCCCTGTAACAGGCAGCAGCTGGAAACCGAAAAGAAGAGGAGAGAGACTGTGGAGAGGGAGAAAGAACAGATGATGCGGGAGAAGGAGGAGCTGATGCTCAGGCTCCAGGACTATGAGCAGAAAACCAAGAAGGCTGAGAAAGGTGGGCCCCGCGCTTCTGGCTGCAGTTTACATGTCCAGACACACACCCACACCCACACCCACACCCAGGAGGAACAGCCATACAGCTTAGCCCCCAGAGCTAGGATAAAATGGTGGGCAGGCTTGCAAAATCATTCTGTGCTTTATCACCGTCTGTGCAAAATGTTTCCTGGGCGTTATCTTTTACGGTTTCCCTCAGCCCTGGGCGGTGAGAACTGAGTCGTCCCATTTTCCTGAGGCGGGTGTTGAGCTCTAGCGTGTAGGATGGGTGCCCGCGATCACGGGCCG